GGGGGGGGGGGGGGTGATATCATAAGTCATCCACGACACCACTACTGCCATCACTACCATCACTACCATAGATACAGGTACCAATAGGCCGTGTTTAAGAGACACGGTACCTCGGGGGTGGTATCTTACACCATCCACAGTACCACTACTTTACCACCTCTGCTGCTACTTCGGGAGGTGTGGTATCTTGCATCATCCACAGTTCATGCACACTACTGTACTACCACCGCTATATACGAGGTACAGTGCAGGTACCTCGGGGTTGCCTTCGGCCTCGCGTAACCCCTTGGCGTGACCCACATCCCCGTGCGCCGACGTCGCCATCGCCCTCGTCTGGAACCAGGGGCCGATGTTCTCCACGAAGGGCCCCCCGACCGTCTTTGGGTGTGAGAGCGCGCGCGAGAGAGAGAGAGAGAGCGTGGCACAATATTCGATTTCCCACGGTGCGGAGGAGGCGCTCGAGACGAAACGAAAACGACATCAGCGCGTTCCATTCAGCACGGCGGCGGCGGCGGCGGCGGAACAAAGGTTGAATTTTCGCCGTCGTACATGTAGTTTCGGTCCGCAACATTCAGGGGAGGGGGGCTGGTGTATTCATGAAAACGCATGCCTACCGTTAGACCATTGACCTCGCAGCCCTACAATGCCGGGACGGAGCGGGCGGTACGCTGGGTTTTCGCCGGCTCAGGCTACAGCGGGGGCTGCGCCTGTCGCCGTTCAGCCGTGCCCGTGTGTGTTGTCGACGAAACGATGTGATTGTGGTGTACTGATGACTGTCACGCATACAGAAACACTGACGGCTTGCTGGCAAAGGAGTTGAAGAAAAAAAGCCGTCGAGCATAAATCCGGTCATGTACCACACGTGCGTACAAAATCGTGGGTGTGCTGAAGAGGTTGCGACAAGCCCTAACACACACAAACGTACAAGGTGTCGTCCAAGCGAGAGAGGATGCGCTGCATGTGCGCGCGCACCGGCGTTTATCCTCCACCCCGCACCACAGTAGCACACACAACGTTGAAGGTGCCATCACCAACCCCCCCCCTCGTGCGCCACCACGACCCCCCTCTCTCACCAGCATCCTCTGGGGAAAGGTGACGGCAATGCGCTCGTCCTCCGCCAGGACCTGCGCGATCGCCTCGGTCACTGCCGCTGCCGTCGCGCCGCCGCTGCCGCCACCGGACAAGGCCCACGGCGCGATCGGGCGCGGGGTAACCCGTGGGGGCTGCCAGCTTACCCGGGAGACAGGGTGCTTCGTCAGCTCGTAGCGGGAAGGGATCTTTGTCAAAAGAGAGAAGGGGGGGCGGGGGAGGGGAAGCGGGCACCGCAGGTTCATTCTACGGTTATGAACGAAACGCTCCGTCTCTCTTTCTCTCTCCCCACCCAAACAAGCGTAGCGGGAAGGGATCTTTGTCAAAAGAGAGAAGGGGGGGCGGGGGAGGGGAAGCGGGCACCGCAGGTTCATTCTACGGTTATGAACGAAACGCTCCGTCTCTCTTTCTCTCTCCCCACCCAAACAAGCGTAGCGGGAAGGGATCTTTGTCAAAAGAGAGAAGGGGGGGCGGGGGAGGGGAAGCGGGCACCGCAGGTTCATTCTACGGTTATGAACGAAACGCTCCGTCTCTCTTTCTCTCTCCCCACCCAAACAAGCGTAGCGGGAAGGGATCTTTGTCAAAAGAGAGAAGGGGGGGCGGGGGAGGGGAAGGGGGCACCGCAGGTCCATTTTTCGGCTATGAACGAAACGCTCCGTCTCTCTCTTTCTCTCTCCCCATCCGAACAAGCAAGACAAACAATAAAAACGCTACTACGGTACTCTATCCGCAAGGTCACGAACGGGTCGAATCAACCAAGCAGCACCAGAGACCAAGCTTAGCCCACGAGTACAACACTTCCGATCACCCACACGGGAGGCTTGGGGAGAGCAATAAAGCACGGCGACCTGTCAGCCCCACCGCGGTATAATGCGCCGCAAACCTACCAAGCACGAGCGTCTCACCGGATTAACAATCTCCTTTGCGAAGTGCTTCTACACAAGAACAGCTGCGGTTTACGAGCCAATGATAAGAGCACAGATCAAAGAGAGCATGTATGGCTTGTCCCAACCCCTTTTAAAAACCCATGGACGATACAGCGCTGCTGTAGCCGAAAAGGTGGATTTACGGAGCTGCACGCGAGCGTTGGTGCTACGGCGGGGGGTAGGCCAAGAGAGCGGGCGCGTTGAAAGTGATGTGAGGCCGAAAAATCAGAAAATCAGGGTACCCCTAAGGTGGGAGGGCGGAGCGGGGTTCAAATCGCAATTCACGGCGCTCCCCCTTCCCCGGCGTCGTATGGTTACCTTGCACATGTTCTTGATTCCCTCGAACAGATCCCACAGGCACACCCTCTTGCGGTCGTTGGAGTGCACGGTGGCGATGAGGTCATTGCGGCTGGGACACCACGCCACCTGCCGATAGACGCCGTCGTGAGGGTTTGTGCGGGGCCGTGCAAGTAGGGAAGAGAGAGGGGAGGGGGGGGGAGGAGAGCGCGCGGCAGCAAGGCCGAGGGAGAGAGAGAGAGAGAGAGAGAGAGGAGAGACAGAGCATGCATCGATCTCCGTCTTGATCCCGAAAAGAAAATAAGTTTGTGTACGTGAGACTGATTCTCTGGTGTTTCCACGGCACGCATGGCATAATTGGTAACGACGGGTTGGAGGGGTTCGCAGTATAGGAACGACGACGGAGCAGGCGGCAAACGCACACCGATCGATGAATCAAGCAATGAGCGAGTCGAGATAGTGAAGACCTCCCGTGAGACCCGACGACGATCATGTAAGTGCTACTGCTACGCATGGACTTGTGCGGACGCAAAAACAGGGAGGAGGGGGGGGGGGGGGGGGGGG